TTCCCCATTCGGTGCACCAAGAGCAGCCTCACACGGTGTAGGCCGACATGAAGAGCTGCCGGATCCAACAGGTAAAAATCGCGAGGCATTGCCGGCTCGATGGGGTCAGAGAGTCCTCTTTCTATTGTGACTCAGATGTGAAGGGAAGATGCCAAGGTCCCTAAAGATCGCAGGGCCTTGCCTGGCATGAAACAGATATGAAATAAGTATTTGTGAAATGAATGAACAAATATTCCCAGCGTGTGCTGCCCATGACCTGCAGTGCCGTGGTCAGGTGGAAGTGATTTTACTTCAGGAGAGGACAGTGTTCTCTCCAGGACTTTTCCTGAGTAGCTAGATCTGCATCCCTCTCCTCTCTCTTCCCCTCTCATCCCTCATTGTCTGTCCCCTTTTCTCTCTGTTTCCACCCTGCTGTCCCCTTACACCTGCTTTCTCCTCTTCAGCTTTCTTGGCTCATCCCCTCCCTGTCCCCCTGCATCCCCCAGGCTCAGGCCCCTACTCTCTCCTGGATGGGGAGACGTGTCTGTTTTTAGGCGGTGCCCTCTAGATGTGTCCAGGCTGGGGAAGCATGGCTCAGTTGACAGTATAATGGGTTAAAAGAGTGGCCACTTTTGAAGGCCTGTCCCATCTCCCATTCCAGAATCCTGTAGGACTTAGAATTTATGGGCCACAGTGGAATTCTTGGTTCCCCAGGACCTTGTGGTGGATGCCTTCTTTCCCTGAGCTTTCATGGGGTGACTGTTAGGTAGCAGGCCCTGCTCTGGGCTAGAGGCCCCATAATGAATAAATCTCAGGTCACTACCCCACAGAACCCACCACTGCAGGCATTGAGAGGGGGAGAAAGAAAGGGGCATGGCCTGTTTGTGTTCTTCTCACGTGGCCGCCCACCAGGTCCTGGGGGAGTGGGAGCCAGTGCAAGGAGAGAAGTCCAGTGAGAAAGGCAAATGGATGACATCAGACCCGGGGGCTGAGGCCCCCAAATGCAGCCAGGTAGATTCTGGAGTCTCTGGCAACAGTGGGCGAGAGACAGAATGTGTTTCAGAGGAGGAGGAAGGGGTTGTACCCCATGGAAACAGTATATGATTTTACAGTAGTGCGTCTTTCTCTAATCACTAGTTCGCGTGTTCCTGTTAATGGAAAATATTGGTGGTGTAAGTTCCCCAATGTTCTCATCTTCATGTAAATTTGTTCCCTTCCTCTCTCCCTTTCTTCCTCCCTCCCTCCCTCCCTCCCTTCCTTCCTTCCTAACTTCCTTCCCTACTTCCCTCCAACTTTGTCTCTTTATTCTTTCCCTCCCGCGCTCCCTCCCTTCGTCCCTTCCTTCCTCCTTCCCTCCCTCACTTCTTTCCTTTCTTCATTTCTTTTCTTTTTCTTTCTCTCTCATGTTCTCTCTTTTTCTTTCCTTTTCGTTCTCTCTACTTTTTTGAGTTGATCACACTGTATTGAAACCCACATTATTTACCAGAATCTCCCGAGCTGCTTCTGTCTTGCAGGCAGGGAGCTCATCCAGTAGCCCTTAGTTCCTGGCAGCGCCTCCTTTGATTTGTGGGTTCCACTGGGGCAGCTGCTGAGTCTCAGTGGTTTCTAGTCTTCATCAAGGTCTGCCCACCCAGATGGTTTGTACCTGTCCTTACCGCAAACCTGCACTATCTAGATTGCTGAGGCTGCTTCTCCCTAACTGACCTGCTGTTTTCTGGGGCACCGCAGGATTCGAGGTAAATGGCACAGGCCTGGAAATCTCCAACTGCTCTGACTCCAGGTTGGTGCACTTCAATGCCAAGTATTAACCACACAATAACAGGATGCCACCAAAACCTTGATATGGGGCTGCTGCAACCTAATTAAAAGAAATTAATAGACATTATTATTATTATTATTATTATTTTTGAGACGGAATCTTGCTCTGTCGCCCAGGCCAAAGTGCGGTAGCCAGATCTCGGCTCACTGCAAGCTCCGCCTCACGGGTTTTTGCCATTCTCCTGCCTCAGCGTCCCAAGTAGCTGGGACTACAGGCGTCCACCACCTCACCTGGCTCGTTTTTTTGTATTTTTTTTTTTTGAGACGGAGTCTAGCTCTGTCGCCCAGGCTGGAGTGCAGTGGCCGGATCTCAGCTCACTGCAAGCTCCGCCTCCTGGGTTCACGCCATTCTCCTGCCTCAGCCTCCCGAGTAGCTGGGACCACAGGCGCCTGCCACCTCGCCCGGCTAATTTTTTGTATTTTTTAGTAGAGACCGGGTTTCACTGTGTTAGCCAGCATGGTCTCGATCTCCTGACCTCGTGATCCGCCCATCTCGGCCTCCCAAAGTGCTGGGATTACAGGCTTGAGCCACCGCGCCCGGCGTTTTTTTGTATTTTTTAGTAGAGATGGAGTTTCACCGTGTTAGCCAGGATGGTCTCGATCTCCTGACCTCGTGATCGACCCACCTCGGCCTCCCAAAGTGCTGGGATTACAGGCTTGAGCCACCGCACCTGGCCAATAGATATTAGTTTTTAGAATAGTTATAGGTTCACAGAAAAATGGAGTGGATAGTACAGAGAGTTCTCCTAGGCTCTCCTGTCCTCCAGCACACAATTTCCCCTATAAGTATGTTGTATTAGTGTGGTTCATTCGTTACAATTGATGAACCACTATTGATACATCATTATCAACTAAAGGCTATAGTGTAGACAAGAGTTCATTCTTTGAGTTTCACAGATTATGGGTTTTGGCAATTACATAATGTCCTAAATCCCCAATACAGCGTCATGCAAAATAATTTCATTGTTGAAAATTCCCTGTGCTTCACCATTTCGTGCGTCCTCCTCTCTTCCAGTCCTGACAACCACTCATCATTTTACTACTTCTCTCTGTTTGACTTTCCAAGAATGTCCTAGAGTTGGACTCGTACAGTATGTAGGTTTCCAGACTAACTTCTTTCTAGCATTATGTATTTTAAGTTCCTGCATGTCTTTTCATGGCTTGATAGCTTGCTTTTTAAAATCACTGAATCAGATTTCGTTGTGGGACTACAACACAGTTTGCTTATTCATTCACTTGGTGAAAGACATCTTTGGTACTTCCAAGTTTTGGCAATTATGAATAAAATTGCTGTAACTACTTATGTGCAGGATTCTGAGTGAACTTAAGTTTTCCAGAGTGATTGTACCCTTTTGATTTCTACTGGCTATGGAGAGTTCTGGTTGCTCCTCATCTTTGAGAGCATTTGGTGTGTTCACCTTTTTGCATTTTAGCCATTCTAAGAGGTTTCCACTGATATCTCATTGTTGTTTTAGTGTGCAATTCCCTAACGCCAAATGATTTTGAGCATCTTTTTCATATACTTATTTGCCATCTGTATATCTTATTAATGAGGTGTACAGATCTTTCACCTATTTTTTTTCTTTTTCTTTCTTTTTTCTTTCTTTCTTTTGTTTTTGTTGCTTTGTGTTGTTCTCAGAATTCTTCATATATTTTGGACAGCAGTTTTTCCATCAGATTATTTTGTAAATATTTTCTGTCAGTCTGTGACTTCCTTTTTCCATTCTTTTAACAGTGTCTTTCACAGAGCAGAAGTTTTTAATTTTAACGAGGCTCCACTTAATTTTTTTTCGTTAGTAGATTGTGCTTTTTGGTTTTGTATCTAAGAAGCCATCATCGAACCCAAGATCCCCGAGACTCTCTCCGATGTTATCTCCTAGGATTCTTATGGTTTCGCACCTTACATTTACATGTAAGATTTATTTTATAAAGGGTATAACATGCATACCGGGATTTATTTATATATTTTTTGCATGTGGTTATCCAGCTGTTGTAGCACCACTAGTTGGAAAGGGTACCTTTCCTGCTTTAAGTTGTCTCTAAACCTTCATGGAAGATCAATGGACTGTAGGTAGGCCTGTTTCTGGGCTCTGTATTCTTTTCCATGGATCTATTTGTGTGTGTGTTTTCTCTTTTCACCAACTTCACACTATTTGGGTTACTGTAGCTTAATGTAAGTCCTGAAGTTGGTAGTGCCAAACCTCAGGGGGGTTTTCAGAACTTCATCTTGAGAACCTGGTTGAGATCATTGTAGTAAAACTTGGAAATATGTGAGATTCCCCCTTAGTCTGGTTCTCAAGGAGTTTTTAATGCGCTAACCAGGCCACCCTCAGCTTCTAGTGATGTGTCAATACCATTTAAGTTCTTCTCCCACTTGCTGTCCCCAGTAACTTCTCTTCCTGTGAGCTCTGACTCCTTGTGTGTTCACCTGTCTTTCTCATTTTTCGGGTGGCAGTTTTCCCTGTGACTTCAATTCTCTGGTCCACCCTAGAAGGGTTGACTTTCAGTTCCTTCAGCCTTTTGCTAGCTGTGAGGACGAGTGATGACTGCCTAGCTCTTTCCATGTTGGACTAGAAACCCAAAAGTTCGTTTGAAGAATGACTTGTTATAAAAGTCACCCATTGTCAACATACGACTCAATGATTTCAGCTGATTTATGGAATTGTGCAGCCATCGGCAGAGTTTCTACTTCAGCACATTTTGTGGCTTCCCCAAATTCCCTTGAACCTCTTTGTAGTCATTTCCTAATCCCTGGTCCCCATGACTGGGTCTGAATAGAATGAATATTTGGAAAGCAGACTTCATGGTATTTACATTTTCATGTGTTTGGGACTTTCTATAGTGGACTATTGTGTTCATTTTGTGACAAGTAGAGAAGAGATTGCGTTCTAGGGATGGTTTTTTTTGGGAAACATAACAGTAGTCCTGTTTATGGCTCTCCTTGAATTGGTTCATCTGTGTTGGTGACCAGTATTTGCTACCAGAACTTGTCTGGTGAGCAAAAGAAAAGCAATTTTAAAAAATCTGCTATTAAAATCGAGATGATACATTTTCACGTAATAATATGTAGAGTTAAGTAATGAACCATCTTTATTAATTAATTTATTTATTTTTGAGATGGAGTTTTTGCTCTATTCCTCGGGCTGGAATGCAATGGCGTGATCTCAGCTCACTGCAACCTCCACCTCCTGGGTTCAAGTGATTATCCTGCCTCAGTCTCCGGAGTAGCTGGGATAACAGGTGCCTGCCATGTCTGGCTAATTTTTGTGTTTTTAGTAGAGACGAGCTTTCTCCATGTTGGCCAGGTTGGTCTCTAACTCTTGACTTGAAGTGATCCACCTGCCTTGGCCTCCCAAAGAGCTACGATTACAGAGCCACGGCCTGACCTCAACCATTTTTATTCTTTCAGAAATGTGATTGATAACAGTAAAGCCGCACTCTTCACATTCCTGAAATACCTCTCATTGTCTTCTTCAGGTAGCAAGGGCTCTGGAACAGCCACGTAAAGGTGAGGACAATATTTTTTTTCATTGATTGATTGGTTGATTGATTTTTTTCTCTTAAGAGGTTAGCATCCATGTATCTGAAGTTGAAATTCAAGAGGAGAGACAGACACCTGTACTAGTTTTCTCTTGCTACCAATTATCACATTACCACAAACCAGTAGTTTGAAACCACAGAAGTCTGGAATGAAGTGGCTGGGTTCTCTGATCAGAGTCATGTAAGGCTAAAATCCAGGAATGGGCTGGCTGTGTTTTCTTCTAGAGCTCAGGCTATTTTTCAAAGTTCAATACAGATATTGAAAGAGAAGACTTCATCTTCTCCAACCAGCCCCAGAAAGTTGTCATGTATGGAATGATGTGATTAGATCCAGTGCATGCAGGTAACCTCACCAGCTTAAAGTCATATAACTGGCATATAACAACATAATCACAGGAATGGTGTCTTATCACCTTAATGGGCTTTAGAGACAAGGGTGTGGCATGTTTGGGGACCATTTCAGAAATTCCATCTACTGCAGATTCACATTCCCCCAACTGCGAAATGCATTCACCCTCTCCCTTAAGGTTTCCGAATTTCATGTCATTAAAGCATTAGTTCAACATGAAAAATGTCATGTAGACAACATCAGATGAAAACTTCAAAATCCCATTTAAAACATCCACACCAGATGTGGATGAGGCTTCTGAGGGTGTCCATGAAGTACAGATCCTTGACATAATTCCCTTTCCTCCTCGACCTGTGAAACTGAACAAACAGCTTATCTGCCCCTAATGTGAAATGACGGGACAGACATGGAATAACAACTACAGTGATTCTAGTTGAAAATGAGGGAACAAGGAAGGGATAAAGAAGTCACTGACCCACAATAGTTTGGAAATGGAGCTGGGCAAAATCCAGCAGGAGTTTTTAAATTAGGATCCACAGCCTGGGACCGACCGGCTGTCCTGTGAGTCTTTGCCTCTGGGCTCTCTGCACTGCATTTCTTGAGACCATGATTATTCATCTCTTTTCTCACACTCTTTTGTGTATGGCTCCTATTGCACTGAAAATGTTTTTGAGATTCATCCATGTTGTTTTGTGTGTCAACAGTTTGTTCCTTTAGGCTTTCCATGGAATGAATGTATCACAGTTTATTGATCCATTCTTGTATTGACAGATGCTTGAATGTTTCCAGTTTTTCCTCTTATGAATAAAAGTGCTATGAACATTCTTGTATAAATCATTTTCTGGACATATGTTTTAATTTCTCTTGGATAAATGCTTAGGAATTACTGAGTCATAGAGTAGGTAGTTGTTTAGTTCTGTAAGAAGATGCCAGACATTTTTCCCCAAAGTGTTTATACTATTGTACATTCCAAGCCTTAATGTATGAAGGTGAGTAAGCTTTTGCTACTTCCAAAGAGGCCTGTCTATAGACATGTCATTTTTTCTAAGTGGAGACAGGCTGATGACTTCAGGGACATGAGCATGGGGTACAGGACACCTGTCATGACCACCAGCATGAAGTTGGGATTCAGGAAGGAGGTGAATCGTATAAGGAATCCTGGGACCAGCATGAGCTTCTGTCAGGGCACAAAGGGCACTGAAGTGAACAGGGCATAGGGGGCCCTGGTGTCATAGTAAGAAAGCGTCTCATTGGTAAAACCTTTACCCTTGGGGAGGTAAATAAGTTCCTTGTTCCTTCTTGGTTACCCCTGAAGATAAGGATGGCCAAAGAAAATAATATCGTATCTGCAGAAAGTCAGATCTTGGTAAGATTTACTAGTAGGGAATCCAATGTTAATGCCAAGAAGCAGCGGCCAGTTGGGATCCAGTGTGAGCCTGTGGATCAAGGTGCGTACTCAAACACAGAGAGCTTTTTGAAAGATGTTACCAGTGGTTTTTCCAGGGCAGAGATGGGTCCTCTATGTTTCTCTCTAACCTAGCCCATATGCTTAGCTGAGACGGTTTCTTCATATCACTTTAAATGATGATGTCCCTGTTCAGCAATTTTCTAAACATTCTTTAGATAGGAATTTTATGGGCATTCTCTATTGCATTAAGCTTAAATTTAAAGCATCTTATGGTTTTATTGCAAAGTGTCGCCTTGTTTCCTTTTTAAGATGATACAATTTATAACATGGAAGTTTGCTGTCTGTCCCCTCCCTTTATGTTCCTATAAAATGAACAAACATGTGGCCATGAAACAGATGGTCATAGAATTGGTTCAGTGGTTGTGAGTGTAGCAACCCAAGAGTGTCTTACCTGAAATCCCACCAGGAATGCCTGGACACAGTAGACAAAGTTTGTTCAAGTGGATGCCTTAGGATACATGCTTCCAAAAACAAAGTAGCCAAAAAGAAACCAGAATAACGGAATATCAGAGCCAGAGGAAGATTTGGTGGTAGTTCAGTACGTCCTCCTTTTCAAGCTCCAGGGGACACAATGGAAGAGAAGCAGGGATGGGCCTGCCTGCTGTGCCCAAAATTCATTGGAGATTGTTGCGATGAAGAATTTCATTGATGATGAAGGAGAAATAAACCCCCGTCAGCTTCAATTCAGGGAGGTTTATTGAAAAGGTGAAGAAGCGTCTTGCAAAGCACAGCATGGCTGAGGCTTGTGGGCTCTGTCTGGGAAAATGAGCAGCCGACAGTGGCTGATGCTGCCCCTGACTCTGGGGCCGTGTGGTCTCTCGTTCCGTGAGAACATCTCTTCTATTCTCTTGTGTCTTCCCTCAGCCTGGCAGTCTCTGTGTACTCCTCAAGACATAATTGAGCAAAGCTGTGCCAGCCCCAATGCCACCTGGCACTTTAGGTCAAATTAGAAAGGCATGACATAAACTGGTCCTTTATAATACAGCTGTTGGAACAGCAGTTGAGAATACAGTATCTTGACTCCTGGTTTAGTACTTTATGCTGAACTTTCTTTTCTGAATATGAGCACAGCCTTTGGAATGTTAGTGTCACCTAGCGTTATTAGCGAGTATTCTCCTTTTGTTTCCCCATATCATCCCCACCTCCTTCCCACAGATCCACTCTCCACTCATTTCCATCCTGTCTTATGCCACTTGGTGCTTGTCCCTTCTAGAATGCATCCTTGGCTCCCCTGCGTACACTTCTAGTTAGGTTTAGCAATGGGGGGCACCTGATGGAGCCTGGAAGTGAGAGGAAGGTGAGGTCTGTATTTCTTCCCTCTCCCTCCCTGCTCTGGCACTGAGTATCTGGCAATAGCTGCATCTGTCTGTTACTTCAGTGGTCACTCTTCCATAGCCCCAATTCTCAGTGGGTCCCATAGCATTGTTTACCTTTGTTCCTTTAGTTCCCACCAAGGAAGATCCAGAGACATTCTCCTCACCAAGGCATTAAGAAATGCACAGGTGAGGGGAACAGTGGCGTGACTGTCAAGTTCCTGTGGTACCTACTGTCTGCAAACTGGAGGTCATGGCGGGAGATGCTGCATGGATTTGCCCTTGCTGCTGTCAGTGAGAAGAACAGGGTTCTGGAAGAGTAGAGGACAGGCCGTGGGACTTGGCCATGTAGAGACAAGGCGGGAGGGATTTCCTTGAGAGGTAGGGTTATGTGGTGCTTACTAATCATTGTGAGGTGTCTGGGAATGTAATGGATGGGAAATCTAGTAAGAAATGAACTTTTGTAATAATTAGAAAAGCTCTAGTTCTGAGGACAGAGACCTGATGCAGTCACCATAGTGGGAATTTATGACCTGGCATCCAGTTGAGATACCTGGAGCTTCTTGACTGATGGGAGATGGATCCCTTGAGGAAGAGTGAAGCCTTCAATGTTGCCGCAAGTGTGTGCTGTCAATCTTCCTTCAGGCAGGACCTGAAGTCATTTATGTGAGTGACTGAGGAAAGGGAGATACTCAGAGCTTCTGTGTCTTGTTAGATTCTGGCTCTGAAGAATGCTAACCTAAGGGCACCTGTGGTGGCCATGAAAATGCACTACTTGCATCTCCAGCAGCAGGAGGCCTAACGTATCAACAGCGCCGGCTGCTACACTCCGAATTGAGGGCTTGATGACATTTCCCCCGAGTCTGTACTAGCCCATGATGAGGAAAGCCTCATATCAAGTCCTCCCAACAGAACACCCCTGATGACTGATGAGGATGTCGAAGCTGTTTTCCTGTGGCAACCGTGACTTTCTTTCTTCAAAGTCTGTTTTGTTCATACACATTAACTGATTTGTATAAAATAGGAGAATAAATGCCTAGACTCCCATGAGTTCATCTTTTATTGATAAACTCTAGTTCTGAGGACAGAAGCTTGATGGAGTCAGTATAGTGGGAATTTATAACTTGGCATCCAGTTCAGAGACTTGGATCTTCTTGACTGAGAGGAGATCGGGTCCCTCTGGGGAACAAAGAAGCCTTCAATGTTGTTTCAAGTGTATCCTGTAAATCTTCCTCTAGGCCTTCCCAGAGGGACCTGCTATATGACTTATGATCCAGTGACCCCAAATTCAGAGTGTTCTCGTCTACTCTGAAGAATGCAATATCTTACTCCTCTGGATTCAACCTAGTACCAATGTTTGTGTGTAGCTATGCAGCTTAATAGACCAAAGCTAATTAGATGAGGAATGGTAGACCCAATTCAACCGTACAGGCATCAACCATATCAGCATACAGGCATCCCTCTCCCACCGTTTCATTTTTGTACCCACTCCAACGTCTTCTCCATTTTGTTTGTATTAATTTTCTATTGCTGCATGCTAAATTAGTGCTAGCTTTTAGAGGCTTAAAATAAGACTGATTTATTTTCTTGCAGTATCCACAGATGAGAAGTTGAGGCCTGGATTAGCTGGGTCTTCTTCTCAGGGCCTCACAGGCTGAAATTTGGCTGGGTTTCTTTCTGGAGTTTCTGGGGAAGAACTTGCTCTCTAGTTTCCTCAGGTTGTCAGCTGAGTTCAGTTCCTTGTGACTGTAGAACTGAGATCTCTATTTTCTTGCTGACTGTCAGCCAGGGGCCTCTCGCTGCTCCTGGAGGCCTCCCATGTTCCCAATACATGCTTCCTCCAGCCAGAAGAGGAGACTTGCCCTGCATGGAAACCCTCCTGCACTTCACATCTCTCCAGGAAGACCTCAGTCCCTCCAAGGAACTCACCTTCATTAGGTCAAGCTCATAAGATCATCTCTCTATATTAAATTTGACTGATCTGAGATCTCGATTCATCTGCTAACATGTTTTTGCCATAAATTGTAACACAATCCCAGGAGTGATATCACTGGGTTTTGTCTACACTCAGGAAGAAGTGATTATATGAGAACAAAGATCACTGGGGGTCATCTTAGGATTCGACCATAATATTATAAAGACACAGTAATTAAAAGAGTATAACAGATTTCTGGTTGTTTCTCCTAGAATAAATCATATCAGACTAATCCTGCCTCCATAAACAACCATAAAATTGTTTTCAGACAGTGGACAACAGGCAGTACAACAGGAAAGTTAAGGGGGGAGCCCCGTGATTTCCTAGTTCTTTAGGGAGAATTTTTCAGCAGCTGCACCGTGGGCTGCAGTCCACTCAGAGCAGGACAGCCGCACTGAGGTGAGAAGGCAGAGATCAGAGTTGAAGTCCACTGAAGCAACTGCAGTCTGTGGGGCAGGGCAGCAATGAGGAGATAGCTGTTCAGAGGGGCAGCTGTCGAAGTCCATGAGGGGTTCCATGTGCACACTTATCAAGGACCGGACTGTACCTGCACAAGGAAAAGACAAACAGATTTAACAGAGGGGTGGCTGCTATCAAATTGAGTTTGGACCAGAGGTACTTGAGGTGGAGGAGGGTTAGGGAATGGATGATGGAGTTTCTGCCATCCAGGGTGGGAAGAACACACACACCTCATTAGCACCCGGGTATCCAACTGAGACACTAGAATGACTGTGCTTTAGGACTAAGTGTCACACTTTACAGTAAAGCCTATTCTAGACCAACGCTAGTAAAGCCTAAAACCAAACCCTGACAAAATCCACAAAGCGGTGGATTGGTGATTGCCAAATTAGAGGGTCTTGGGAAATGCTGTGGGCTTTCCATGCATTCATTTTAATAAAACATAAACCAAGTCCACATAAGTCCAAAGTGATCAGACAGTAATTTTCCTGCCCACTAGAACAAAATTAATTCACACAATCAATGACACAAGCTAGTCAAGTCGACATTTAAGCAAAATACATCTAAGAACAGCTAACAAATAACTCTTCTCAAACTCACATAGAACATTCACCAAGATAAATCATATATGCTGAGGAATCCTTAGTATTTTCTGTCATGTCTCTTTGACTTGTGTATACTGTGCTCAAGCTCTTAAAATTATACACTTTAATTATACACTTTAATATATACTTGATTATACTTTAATAAATCTCGGCCGGGCGCGGTGGCTCAAGCCTGTAATCCCAGCACTTTGGGAGGCCGAGACGGGTGGATCACGAGGTCAGGAGATCGAGACCATCCTGGCTAACACGGTGAAACCCCGTCTCTACTAAAAAACACAAAAAACTAGCCAGGCGAGGTGGCGGGCGCCTTTAGTTCCAGCTACTCCGGAGGCTGGGGCAGGAGAATGGCGTAAACCCGGGAGGCGGAGCTTGCAGTGAGCTGAGATCTGGCCACTGCACTCCAGCCTGGGCGACAGAGCGAGACTCCGTCTCAAAAAAATAAATAAATAAATAAATAAATCTCAATTGCATGTAATTTATATTTCGATATATTTGTTAAATTTTATAATTTAAAAAAGTGTCCTGGCTTGATTCAAGAAATCTTTTTTATATTTAAAAAATATAATTTTATATATTATCAGGGCAAAAGAGAAAAACCGTATGATAACGTTATCATACACAGTAAAAGCATTTGGCAAAATTGAAAACTTTTTTCATGATTTTTATAAAAACAAACCCCAGAAAACTCTCAGCATGATAAAAACAGAAGGCAACACTTCCAACCCCATTAAGGATAGTTTTGAAAAAAATCTCACAGGTAACATTATATTAAATGGCATAAAATTGAATGCTTTTCTATTAAAGCAGAGAAAAAAGTAGAATATCTGTTGGTACACTTTCAATTCAGCATTATACTAGAGATCTAAATCAATGCAATAAGGTAAGAAAAATAAATAAAAGTATTGAAAAGATTGAAAAGAAAGAATTGAAATTGTCTTTATTCACAGATAATGGCTGTGTATGTTAATAATCATAGAAATCTACAAAAATCTACCAAAAGTAATTAGTGAGTTTGATAATGTTACAGAATATAAGCTCGATATAAGTAGTCTTGTGTATTTCTGTATATTAGCAACAAGCATTTGTAAAATGAAGTAAAAAGCAGTGTCATTTAAATTAACATCTAAATACATGTTTTCTTATAGATAAATTCAACAGGCTGGGTGCAGTGGCTCACACCTATAATCTTAGCACTTTGGGAGGCTGAGGTGGGCAGATCATGAGGTCAAGAGATTGAGACCATCATGTGTAACATGGTGAAACCCAGTCTCTACTAAAAATGCAAAAAATTAGCTGGGTGTGGTGGCATGTACCTGTAGTCCCAGCTACTGGGGAGGCTGAGACAGGAGGATCACTTGAACCTGGGAGGCAGAGGTTGCAGAGAGCCGAGATCGCATCACTGCACTCCAGCCTGGGTAACAGAGCAAGATTCTGTCTCAAAAACAGGATCCCTGCTCCTCAAACAAAACAAAAACAAAAAAAAAAAAAAAGAAAAAAGAAAGAAGAGAGGGAGCTAAGGAGGAGGGAGAGAAGAAGAAAAGAAAATCAACAAAATTTATGTACGAGCCAGTACACCAAAAATTACAAAAAATTGCTTTAAGAAATTATGAAAGAACTAATTAGTGGGGAGATACCTTGTCATGGATCAGAAGAGATTATGTTTAAAAAGTCAGCTTTTCATAATGCAATTCTAATAAAAATTCCAAGCAACATTGTGGTAGAAAATTACAAGTTGATTCTACTATTTATATGGTAATGTCAGTGATCAAGAATAATAAAGGAGCAATATTATAAGAGAATAATGGTGAATGAATTCACTACCTATTTCCAGAATTACTCTGCAGCTATGAAAATCATGTGTTTTGTTGGAAAAAAAAAATAGAATATATATCAGTGGAAGGGAAGAGAGTATCCAGAAATAGATACTCACATATATGTGTAATTAATGATTCTTAGGACATATGTATGTATACAAACGTGTGTGTGTATAGACACACACACACACACACCTTTTTGAAGATTATCTATCATTATCTCCAAATAGGGAACATTAAGAGAACATAAAAGGAAACTACAATATAGGAGATATCATATTTATCTCCAACAAAGGGTTTTTTTAGAGAGAGAGAGAGAGAGTGTGTGTGTGTGTGTGTGTATGTGTGTGTATAGCACTCTGATTAAAGCATAATGAAACAGTTTCTCTAAAGACTTGAATAGATACTTCAGAAAAGAAGATACATAAATGGTCAATTAGCATAGGAAAAGATGCTCTACTGTTTAGTCATCAGGGAGATCAATCAATACAACAATGAGATACCAGTACATATCCATGAGAATGGCTAAAATTTAACAGGCTGAAAGTAGCACATGTTGGTGAGGATATAAAGCACTTGCAAGTGTTATACTTGTAGGAGTGAAAAATGGTATGACTCCTTTGAAAGTCTAACAGTTTCTTAGAGGTTAAACATACACAAATCAGATGGACAGTCCTTCGATTCCTAGGAATTTACATACTATGTCTGCACAACGATCTGTGTGTGTTTCCAGACTAAACTGAGGGGCGGGCTGCTATGTCTGGTGGCCCAGCAAGGAGATGCAGATGAACTGGGGAGGAAGAGAGTTTTTACTTCTGCAACTGGTTACAGGGAAAAGGCCTGGAAATTATCACCACACCAACTCAGAATTACAAAGTTCTCCTGAGCTTATGTGCCTTCTAAGCTATATGTGTATATGGAAGTTGCATTCATCTAAATACATAAGTGATTAACTTCTTTTAATCTAGAACTAAGTTCTGAGTCCTGAAGACCTTCCTCTGGAGCCTCAGTCAGTTCACTTAATCGAAATGGGTCTAGGTGCTGGGGACCCTTATCTTGTCTTCTGCTAAATCACAGAGGTTTGGGGAGTTCCTTCAGACCTCCAATAAACTTGTTCGTGGAGGCCTGGGGAGTTTCTTCAGACCCCTAATAAAACTTGTTTAATGCTAAATGAGTCCTTTAAAAGTGCCTTTGTAATTTTGTCATGCTTTAAGGCTCAGGAAAATCCTAGGCAAAACTCTTGGTGGGCTTTTGTTACGTTCCAGCCTTTGTATAAGGGCACTGGCCTTTTTTTTTTGTTTCCTCTTAATATTTGATTGGACCACTGAGTTGGTACTGAAACAGTTGTTAGGAGGCCTATGGTAGTGGGACCTGGCCTGCCATGTGTGGATGCTCATGGTAGTTTCTTCATACTAGCCCAAACGTGGAGGATAGAAATGTCCAATAACAGGTGAAAGGATAAACAAATATGGTATAGCCACACAAAGGAATACTACTGAGCAATTACAAGGCATGAACTCTTGATGCAAATACTCATATGGATGGATTTTAAAATTACGTTGATGCATGAAAGAAGGCAGACACAAAAGAACACAGGTATAATTTCATTTATAGAAAATAGTTAAAAAGGAAATGGACCTGAAGTGGCAGCAGCTCCTTGGGGCCGAGGGTTGAAAGACTGATGAACTGCAAAGGGGTCCAAGAAACTTTGGTGTGTAGGGAAATTCCTCTATCTTGGTTGTGGCAGTAGTTCCATTAGTGTATGCATTTGTAAACATGCATTGAATTACACGTTTTAAAGTGATGCAATCTGTTGTACCTAAATTATAACTTAATAACATTGATTTCATCATCTTAATTTCTCCATACTAGCAATTAGTAGCTAGAAAATGAAATGCAATAAAACATAATAGAGATTAATAGCCGGAATCATTGCATGCTTAAGAATATATGCAGTGAAGCAGGTACAAGGCCCCTAAAAGCAATTGGTGAGAAAAATGAAAGAAGGCTAAATAGAGAAATATATGTCATTTTCATTGATTGGAAGATTCCATGTTGTTAGCATATTACATCAACACAATTCTGATTGATATTTGTAGTAGGAGATTTTAGAGAAATTTAAAAGCAAATTTCAAAATGTATTTGAAAATCAAAGAACCTAGAATAGGCAAGTTGGTCTTGAAGAAGCAGTAAGTTGAAGGACTTACTCTGCTAGATTTCAAACCTGATATTAAAGCTACAGTAATTTTAAAACGGTAGTACTGGTGTAAGTATTCATAAATATATCAAAGTAAAAGAATACAGACTCAAACAATACGCCCACATATGAAGTTATTTAATTAGTAGAATCTTTTTTATTCATAAAAACATCCCTCAAAACAGAAAAGTTTTCCAACCACACACAGGAGGAGTATGAGTAGGGGAAGGTGTCTGTCCATCTGTCCCTGGCCCCCAGCCCATGTGGTTTTGGCAGCAATGAGAGGTGTGGGGTAACAGCCCCTGAAATTAAAATGGTATGTGCGTGTATGAGAAGGAAAGGGGGTCAAACTGTGGGGAGCAGTGGAGGGGAAGGAACAAAGGAGGTCAGTACTGGGAACGCTGAAGGAGGGAGGACATTTCGTAACATTTATTGCTGGTGAAACTGCCATGGACACCTTCTTTGCCCATCAGCAGGCCTAGCGTCTTGGCAGTCATGGTGCCGGTGACATTGAACATGGGGGCTCTACCGATGCTCTTCGTTTGAAGATCCACAGTCGATTCCCCATCCTGCAGCAGTGAGTCCGGGACCACAGTACATTTCTAGGCCCCAGTGTCAGCCCATTCACAAAAAAGCTTGACCGGTTTTGCCAACCAGGACACCAAGCTCAGCTGACGTGATGTTCATAAAGGTTTTCCCTGGGATGGTGGCCCAGATGGAGGGCGAGTCCTTGTTGCCCACGATGGCCGCGTCCTAACAGGTCCAGTCCGCCACGAGGCTGTGGATAGAGGCATCCGCCTGGCTGTTGTGCTGCTGGCGGGGGGCTCCTCTGGTCGCTGCTGCTGGGGCCGCCTGGGCTGGCGGGCAGGGGAGTCGGAGAGCTCGGGGCAGGCGCTGCCGTCTTCACCATGGCTCTGCTAGCTGTGCAGCGGCCCTCGCACCGCCCTATATATATAATATATGTATAATACTATACTTGAAGTTCTAGGGTACATGTGCACAATGTGCAGGTTTGTTACATAGGTGTACATGTGCCATGTTGGTTTGCTGCACCCATTAACTCGTCATTTACATTAGGTATTTCTCCTAATGCTATCCCTCCCCCAGCCCCCCACCCCAGGACAGGCCCTGGTGTGTGATGTTCCCGCGCTGTGTCCGG